AAAAAAAAATTATAAAAAAGAGTTGTAAAACCGTCGAAAAATGACCAATAAACTTAAAAAACAAACCAAAAATTCTGGCCTGAAAAACGCGAACATTTACTATGTCTGGTTAAATGTTTCTCATGCTGCCGGAGAGAACGCTCCAGTTCCAAATCAAGATCAGACCGGGACGCCTCCTGGGGAGTTCCGGCTCGCGGCCCTCGGGTACTCCCCTAAAGCCCACCGCCTTCCGAAGCTCCTCCCTTCTCACGTCTCAGGGCCCGCCCTCCGCGCACCTTCAGGTACCACCGGAAGTCCTCGCCCACAGGACGGAGGTTCGTGACGTTCTCCAGCGTCGCTTTGAGCTGCAGCGCGATTTTCTGAGGGGAGGGAGGACCAGACCGACAGTGTCGGCCGCGCTTGCGCACATCCACGTTGGCCCTCCCGGCTCGCGCATTACCTCCTGTACCCTTAGCGCGAGCCCATTCCTTCCATTCCCATCTGGCGCGAGATATTGCTTTCCAGGGCCTCGCCACCGCCCCGCCACCACTCCCGCCCCGGTACCCCGGCCCCAGCGGCGAGTCGCCTCCCCCTCACCCCCATGGTGGCCCAGCTCAGCGCGGCGCCGTCTGCGACGGCTACTTTCTGGCAGGTCGTAAAAGAGGAGGCGGCACTTGCGCACTCTCAGTGCGGGCAGTTTGGTGGCGCGTGGTGGGCAGCAGGGCAGGCGATGCACTAATTCTTCTGTCACCTTATCTGCCCCTCGGGGCTTTTCCTGTTAGGGGAATTGGAAACGGTGGAGGTTTTTGAGTGTGACATTATCTGGTGCTCAGACGCGCTGAAAGGTGCCTCCAGGAATCGGTCATGCCGCAGGTACCCAATTTTGTACCAGCATTAAGTGGACAGTTACCGCCCCTCAGTTCTCTCCTGCCTCTTCATTATTTTCTCTTCTCTGGGCTTCTCAGATCACTTTGGCTCCTCCTGCTCGGGGGTGAGAAGGTCCGGACCATCTTGGGGACAAAGAGCAGGTCTTAACTGGGGTCTTAACTCATAACCTAACAGTCATTTAAAAGATGATATGTGCTTTTTCTACTTTTCCACCTCAATTCAAAGTTTGCCATATACTAAAAGCTTGATATGTGCCTTACTCTCAATTTTCTTGTTTTCAAAGTGTAGGTGCATTATTAAAGCCAGGATGCCCTCGCTGTAAGTCTCCAAATTATAAACAGCCTAAAGGATAAAAACTATTGAGACTTCAAAATGGCAAAGTCCCAAGGTCTTTAACTTGTTTGCATGATTTGTGTTTTTACATTTCCCATCTATGTGTTCTTTTAACAAGTATAATAACTCATCACAGGGTAAAGATGTTTACACAGGATGTAGCATGATAGGACAAATGTAATGTTAACACTCACCTCCCTTAAAGTGCCCTCACAGGAAAAGAAAAATAACTTCGAAATGCACCTAAAGC